TTTTTTTTGATTGTGCTGATTGAGGCATTTATGAAAAATTAGCAAAATAGTCTTTTTTTAACAAACAAGTTTTTTCCTAATTACTTAATTTTCCCCTAATTAATTTTAAGATGCTGAGAAACAGCAGCAGTGAACACAACGTATTTATGCAAAAACATAGTTTATTTGACCAAAGGTCAGAAGACAGTGGTTCTAAGTACCAGTTACACTAGGAACACCTGAGTGGCCTTGAGCACTCACCATATCTCCTCTCTGCCCCTGGATTGGGAGGGGTGATGTCTGAGATACCTTTAGCTCTACTATTTTGTGGTCCAATCACTAGAAAAGGATTTTGCAGAATACAGTCTCTGCAATTTGTGACCACAGAGCAAATCTCTGCTTACTTTTGGATCCCTCCTCCCATTTCTCCTCTCATCTAAAAAGGGAATGTTTACCAAAAGGTTCAGAAGAGAAGACCAGTGCGCGCAGCTGGTTCCCTAAGTCTGCTTCCAGTACGAGGATCCTATTCTACCCAAGGTGCATCCCAACAGACCCTGAGAAGGCCAGGTGTACCATCAATTTCCCCAGTGCCACAGCCACAGGGGTTCACAGGCAAGGGCTGGCACTTATAGTATACCCTTGGGATCTGGAGTTAGGGATGGAGGCCTCATCCAGTCTTCTTTGTGGATAAAGGGTCTTTAGTAGCTAACAGGGCTGGGAGCTACCGACACACCCAGTGTTCTCCGCCCATAAAAGGAACCAGCCCCACCAGTTACTGGCTGGATGACTAAGAGCAAAGAACTTAATTTCTCCATGGCTTAGTTTTCTCACCAATAAAATGGGAAAATGAACTTTATCTTCTAGGGTTGTTGTGAGCATTGAAACTAAAGAAGTGTGCATAAAATATCTAGAATAATGCCTGGCACAGAGTAAAGGGCTCAATAAATGCTAGCGCTGATTATTATTATTACTACTACCTTTCTCCCCAGAATAGCTCAGCAATCTGAAAAAACAAACAAACAAACAAACAAAACGCCTTAGTGCGGATATGAAGTATTCCTTCAAGTGTTCGCAAAGGACACGTTCCAATCTGTTTCTAGGCAAGGAAAGTGACCTGAGCACAAATCCAGGAGATAAGCACCCGGAAAGAAATGGGCCCTGGGGCGTCGGAAGCTAAATCTGGCCAAAGGAGGGACTTAATTCCGGGGTCCTACCTCAGGTATCCAGGTAATTCGGAAGAAGCCAGTGCTCTTTCCCCCGATGCCTGGCCTGTGAGGGTGTGGCCTTTGTGCTCAAAAGCTGCCCCCGGAGCCTCCACGGAGGGAATCCCCGTTCCCGCTCCTGAGGCTCTGAAGCTTGCAGCGGGGCGACGGGGAACTCGCTGTTCCAGGGGTGCCCCAGGATGGGAGGACCGAACTCAGGATTCCTCCCCAGAGCCCTGGCGAATCGACGTCTCTTCCGGAAGGGCCAAGGCGTGGGGCTCCCAAAGGGGACTACGCTGAGCTCTGCTTTCTCACGGCTGGTACGGGAGAGCAGGAGACGTCTACAGGGCAAACCACAGAGACGGTTGTGCCCCTTTTAAAAGCCTGTACGTGGGAGGTTTGGACAGGGTGGACCAGAGGGTTTGACTCAGTTCCAGATCCACGCAACCTCCACATTCTTCTTTTATAGGTACAGTAAGAAACCGAGAACCGGACGCCTAGCCAAAGGCGCTGCTTGGAGAGGGGCGTGCACCAACTCAAAGTGGGAAGGGTTAAATGAGGTGCGTCCAGGCTTTCTGCAGCCCAGGATATTCCCCACCAGGATAAATGGAGCCCGGAGAGAGAGTGTCCCTTCTTTGCAACAGCAGCCTAGGCCCCCTCCCGCAAATGTTCTTCCATCCCAGATTTCTGGGGTGCAAAGGAGGAAAGAGGCTAACCTTCTGGCATCCGCCAAAGCGTCTGGAACAACCGGAAGGATCTACCTAGAGACTGCAAGGCGGACAGACGCACCTACGGCGCGGGCGCTCAGGTCTGGGAGCCCGGTCTTCCTTCACCCGATGCCCACACCCCCCTAGCTGTCCAACTCTGCGCTCACGAACCTCTGGGCTCAGCATGGGTCTCTGCTACTCCCTTGCTCCACCCAGGTGCGATTCGCAGAGGGGAGGTGAAGAAAGGGGGCCCCTACTGTAGTCCCTGCCCCAGCGCTCTCCTCCAACCGGTTTGGAACCCTGTCAACTCGCCTGGCGCTGGGGACTCTCCTCCTACCTCGCACACACCACTCCCTCTGGGGGCCAGGAATCCCCTTCCCACCCTGCGGCTATGGAAACATCCTTAACTCCTGAGCGCCCCGCAGGAAAGGTGGGCGTGGGTCTACAGACCCGGCTGCGGAGATGGAAGGGTGTGGAAGCCGGTGCCAGAGAAAGGAGAGGACTACGGTCCTCTTAGAGCCAGGAAAAGCATCCCCGGTCCATGATCTAACCACTCAGTCACCTCCCGAGACACCAACGCATTCAGAAGCTCCCTGGGGGGTTTGTCTCTCCTGGAGAGGGAGATCGCCCCTTGCCAGTCACCCAGAAGGCCTTCCCAAGTCCCCCAGGGCCCCGGCATTCCGGGTCTCCAATCCGCCTTCCAGTGCCTCCCCAGGTACCCAGCCCCTCCCCCATCTGTATTTACCCGCCGGGGCCAGCGCCCTCCGGACTCAAATCCCGTTTCCTCCTCATCAGGTAGATGACTGCTTGGGGCTGGCCCATCTCACACATTAGCAGAGGCTTTTGGTTCCCGCTCAACCAGATCTATCCCCGAGCTTCAGCTTCCCCCCCCTACTCCCACCAGCAACCGTTTCCCTCCCAAAACCACTTACTTCACCCACCCGATCTGCACTTGGCGTTCCCACGGCGTACAGCCGCAAGCCCCTCCAAGGGTTTCATTACCGAGTTGGGGGTGGCATATGCAAGATGAAGCGATTCCCGCCGCGCTGGACAGAGCCCCAGGGGTGGCCGCAGCCTTCCTCCACTTCCCACCTCTCCTATTCCACCATCTCGGCTCCTAACCAGCTCCTACAGGCAGGATGAGCACTGCTGGGTCCCAAACCCTCACCTCTCTAGCGCGAGCTGCAGGGAGTGAAAAGTCGACGGGCAAAAACACACAGAGAAATATGGGCAGATGTATACGGCAAGGGAGGGGGGTGCTGGGGGAAGGGTGCACGCGAGAACTAGACGTGCAACTTGCACTGCACGAGGTGAGCACCGCGCAAGGAGGGGGCACAAAAGTTTGTAGACTATCGCACTGCAGCCGGCTGCACGCGAGCAGAGGGTCGACTTCCCCTCGCCAGGAGGTGTCTCTCCAAGGGTCTGCGCCAAAGGGAGCTGGGATTTGGGGCATGGCTCAAAATCGGTGTGCTAGTTCTCCTCTACTTGTTCCGGGAGCAACGGCCTAGGCACGCTGGCAGCGAGAGGGACAATACCGCTGTTTGTGAAAAGCAACAGGCGGCCGCACCTTACCTTGCGCCAGTCCCGGGCCGGGGTGGCTGCTCCATCCTCGTGGCGCAGGGAGGAGGCGTTGGGTGCGTATGTCTGGGGGTGCGCGCGTTACCAGAGCTGCAGCGGCCGCTATCTGCACCCGGCTGCTAGCCCCGCTGTCCACTCCGGACCTGGGTGGCCGGGCGGGCTGGTTT